TAATGTATAGTAAAAATTATGATTTTATATAGATTATTCTTTATCAAATCTATTAAAGTTTCCCCGAACAAAAACTTAGTCGAAAAATAATTTTCCAAATAATTCTTTGCCGAATATTCGTAAAAAAGGCCAAATACTGAATAGTGGCTGAATATTCGTTACATCCTTACTTAAAGCGAAACTATTTTTTCAACGTCGTGTAATATTGTTGCTGTATTATATGGAATCTTAATTTAATAAGTGGAATGCTCTGTTTTTTTCTTATTTCTTCATTTTGTCTATGCTTTGATGACTGTGTTAATAATACCGCACCATCTTGATCATCTGTTATATATTTTTATCCAAAACCTTTTGCAAACTTCACGAGATTATTAAATACATATCTAATTATTCATAAGAGATATAATTATTTAACTTTGCTCAGTATTAATTAACTATATACAGTCGGACTTCTATTTAACGAACTTCCATTTTGCGTTTTTTTTTTTTTTTTTTTCGAAGAACCAAGAACATTTTGGAAATTTCTTCGTAAAATAACTTCCAAATAGCGATGTGAATTTTAGTATTTAACGAATTTTTCTTTGAGATAAACTTTCAGTATTTCCGAAAATATTTCAGAACATTTCAAACTAGTTAAAGCATTTTATAGGAGAATAAGATTTTGAAGCCACCTAAATTTTCGAAAAATCAGTAAAATCTCTTTCCCTTTTTTGTTACCATTTCAAACGAAAAACTCAGATAAAATTAACGGATTTCATTATTGTATTAAATTAAAATTATATTAAAATTATCTTACTTTCCATGCAGATTTCTTTTATGGCTAAGATTTATAAAATAAATAGTAGATACTAGTTTACAAGATAAAGTTACTAGTTTACCTGTTACAAGATAAAGATACTAGTTTACAATTGCTATCTTAATAATGTCTTGTGTTAATGAATTTAAAACCTGTTTTGTGTTTTAGCATTTCAAAAGGTGATTTTCTATTTAACGAATTTTCCATATAATGAACTTATTTACTTGATTTAGCGACATCGTTAAATAGTGGTCCGATTAATTTGATTTTAGGGTAGAAAATAAATATTCGGTTAACCAATGAACCAAGCCGAATACTATAAAGAAAATGAACGATATTTAACATTATGGAGAAAACAATTGTACCTCAAGTTTCTTTACTTTTTATACTTTATATATATA